TCTCCGCCCACGTTCTCCGGTTTTTTCCCCGGAATTTGCGGGGTCTCTATTCTGTTCGTTGCCGGCTCTTCGGAGCTTTAGGAACACTTTTGAGAAAAGTAAAGTAACCAAAAGAAAAAGAGCAAAATTAATTGTATTTTTTATCAACTAAACATAAGAAGCAAAGCAATTTCAATAACATTTGTACTCCAATCAGAGTACTGTAGAACTACAGTATTGAAAACCGAATGAGAGTGAATTGAGACATCATAATTAGATAGCATTAATTCTGAATTACTTTCAGAAACGAGAAATACTTCTTCAAGAAAAAATTAGATAAAAGTAACTATTCAATAAATTAACATCGATGTCATCCCATTATGAATCAGAAGATAAAGACAATGAAAGTTCAAACAGCTGTTTCCGAAGTGCTCGACGAGCTTCTTTGGGTTTCATCTCTTCCACTCCCTTCAGATGATGATTCCTCTTCACTATTGACGTTCTCATAGAAATCCGAACCAAATATGGCAAGAAGTGTAGGCATATACACAACGCCATGTAAGATACAAACGAATGCAATTCCAAACAATTGGATACAGAAATATGTAATCAGAACACGAGAATCAGCAAACAAGAGACAACCGGCAGTAAGCATAATAGCTGGGAAGATTCCAGAAAGAGTCTGAAAATAAACTTCCATCCATGTATACAATTCTAACAAACTCACAGTAGCTCCATTATTGACCAACGCCGCTACTGCTCTCTCCTCACTTTTCAATTTCTTCGAATTGTAAAATCCATGAAGTATTTGACCGAAGAACTCGACAGCTATTCCAAGAGACTGAAACAAATTTCATGAATCTTGTTGAAAATTGGACGGTTACCATAGTCATGTTGATCGCAGCAACGACATTCATACTGATTCCTTGTAAATACATATATCCCATTAAGTGAATATAAGAAGAAAATAGAACGAAAACTGAAATTCCAGATAATTTATGAGGCTATATCTGAAACAAAACTCACCACTGACAAGACTTCCAGCCAAATGGACTCTCAGAAATAGAGAAATTGTAACCAAATCAACGAAGAGGATTACGACGACAAGTGTAATGACTGTGGTCGTCAATGAATCGTACTGCTCATAGTATGGGAAGAAAGTACTGTAGACGAATACACGGACTCCTTGCAATTGCAGCTGTTTCTCAACTTTCTCAGCAACGTACTTTGCGAATCTCCACGCATCTGGAATAATTCTTAGAATACGTCACGAATAGACTTCACAAACCATAAAGCTCATTCGAGTCAGAAATGTTCAATTTTCTGAAGAAGGTGGAGAAGTAGCTGGATTGAATTTTGCCATTTTTTGTCATATTGATTGCTGGTTTAGCAAGAGCAAATCCACCATGAGCACAGTGAATTGTGGGTGGTGTGTTCAGGAAATTGCCGAGATACCGGTAGAATTCGGATTCTGCATGAAGCGGAGAGGTATTGGCGGAGCATGATGAGCAATGGGTGGCATTAGATGGATCACCTGAAAAATCAAGTCTCTCAAAAATCCTAATTTCTAAAGGCAGCCTTGTTTCTAGAATGTTTTAATAATTCAAAAAATTGTTTTGAACTCCTCAAGTTTAGTATCCTTATAACATAAAAACTGTTGTAGAAGAGCCCCCACATTGTCACGTTTGAGGTAGTTTTTCTTGGTGCTTGTGCAAGATATCAAAAATGTGTCAACTGAGAAAATGATTTTATGTTATGATGAACAATTTATTCGTTAAACCCTTTTTTATATCTTTGACAGAGAACGAGATAAATTGGCTCAAAGTTAAAAATTAGGTTGACCCTTCTATTACAAGTTTTACGGCATTTCTTTATTGAAAGTTATCCATTCACCAAAACACAATGCAATATTCCGATATGTTATCAATCATTCAGATCTCTTCTTCCCCAATCCGTTTTGTTTCCCAGTTACAACTAAAACGCATGTCTGAAAAATGTCAAAACCACCGTAACTTTCAATTTCAATCTCCCCTCACTTTTGTCCACCCCACAAACAGTTTAACGCGGAAATAATGCTTTCTGTTGTGACAAATAAGAAGAGGTGAAGAGGGGATAATAGACAAAAAAAAGAAGTAGTTATTCAGCAACAACCTTAGGTTTAGTTTACACCCTACCTACTCCTCCCCTTTCTTTTTTCTGATATTGAGACCGTTCTAGCCGACCACTATAAAAGACGCCTACTACGTGCCCACACCTGAAGGCCGTCCTTTTCTTTCTTCTCTTTAGTTCGTGTTATCATGCCGTCAGCGTCGACGATATCTGTTGTGAGTGCGATCAGTGGTGTTGCCGTTCTCGGCGCTCTTCTCACCGCCGTTGTCATCTTCAACGATATCAACAAGTTTTACTATGAAACGATGGAAACGTTTGATGGGTTCAAGGTTGGTTTGAACATTTAGCACGTAGGTCTGATAGTAAAACGGAATCAGATTCAAAGTCAAATGTGTTTTATCTTATCAATGGAATAGGAACAAAACTGTTTCTTTCAGATCAACGAGAAGAATGCCTGGGATAACATGGTGATGTCCACTCGCTCACCAAAGGAGATGCTTTTGGGCCGTGCTAAGCGTCAAGCTCTCCCAGACTGTCAGGCCCTTGCAAAGAACTGCCCACCAGGACCACCAGGACCACCAGGAGCTCCAGGAGCCGCTGGAGAGCCAGGAAGTGATGGAGATGCTGGAAAACCAGGAATCAACGGAGTCGCCATTCAATTCGCTGCTGCCGCCGGAGGAGCCTGCATCCAGTGCCCTGCTGGAGAACCCGGACCAGCAGGAGCTCCAGGAGCCCCAGGACTAGCAGGACCAGACGGAAAACCAGGAACCGACGGGCAAGGAGGAGCTCCAGGACCAGCAGGACCAGAAGGACCAGCCGGAGACGCTGGAGCACCAGGAGCACCAGGAGCCCCAGGAAGCGACGGACAGCCAGGAAAGGACGGACAAAGATCCACTGGAACCCCAGGAGCCGCCGGAGCTCCAGGACCACAAGGAACAGCTGGAACTGATGGACAGCCAGGAGCCGCTGGAGCCCCAGGAGCACCAGGACCAGCTGGAGCACCAGGACCAGACGGACAACCAGGATCCAACGGACAACCAGGACCAGACGGAGAACAAGGACACGATGGACAGCCAGGAGCTGATGCTGCCTACTGTCCATGCCCATCTAGATCTTCTGTTCGTCAGTAGATTATTATGTTCTCTCATTGTACATCGATTTCTTGGTTACTTTATTGACCTACGGACCTCATAACTTATCCCGTATCAAAACCATCAGAATAAACGCTAGATTTCAAACCCGCAAACTATTTTCTCTCATCACTTACAGAATTCTTGTCCATTCGTTTTGCAGCAAGTTCCACGAGGATGCATGAACTGGAGAAATGAATCAATCCAGATGTTTACATCTCCTCGTAAAAAGTTTCCACTGTAGTTTTCAGCATACGCCAGCGAGCGGATCGTGTTACCCATTGAATTTTCATCACATCCAGCAACCGTGCAAAACTTTTTCTGAAATTTTTTCGTTTCCTTAGGAAGTTTCTAAAAACCGAACCTGTATTTTTGGATCGAACCAGTTGATGTCTCCTTCTATTACAAACCAAACTGGTGGCCCCACATTCAAATTCTTATTCATATTTTGGAAGTGTTTTGTCAAATAACTTGTCTAAAAATATTTTTTTCTAACGAATCATACCGAAAACAAAGCTAGTGTACCTTTGAAAAAGCCATGGTTTGATCAAAACCAAACTCTAGTTTTCGAGACCAGTAAATTGACGAAACAAATGTGATGGAGAAGAATATGAGAATCACGATACGACATAATTTGTTCAGAATCAATGGCGCGATGGCAATTTTAAACCAATCGACAGGACTGCGGAGTGTTCCACCAACAGCGTCTTCTGAAAGACGAATTCTTGTGTCTGCTGATAGTTGATACCATGGCCAAATCTCGCATCTTCCGTTCTGAAATCTCGGATTTTTAAAAGAATATTCAATTAGTGTGAATCTTTACCATTTCTCGTCTGGCATCATATTGGAACAATGGAAGAACCACCAAAAGATAAAATGCTGTATCAATAAGAATAGCCAATCCAGCATGTCTTGAGAATACTTCAACAGCTGGCATGCTAACTGAAATGTAAGGAAGAACTCCTCCAGCAAGGAAGAAGCAAGTGGAGCAGATAAGAGAATTGGTCAGAACGATTGGGATACATCTCCTCATAGTGTCAGTAATCCTACTGTTCATTTCACGATCCGTTATATCTGGATGGCCGTAGCAGTGTCCATTAGATTGGAATGTTCGGATGGTGAGAAAGATTCTACTTATCCCAATTAGAGTTATCACAAAGAACAGAACTACGATTGCATTATCAGTAGCGTGCTGACCTCCAAATGAGTAGATTCCAATAGAGCTGTATATAAATTAAAAGTTTTTTGTCCTCAATATTTACTGTTAGCCTACCACCAAACACTTATCACACTGATAAAAACACTTGACGTTGAAATCAAAAGTTTCTGATGAATGAAAGCAGACAGCAGAGAAGATTCAGGCCAGTGATAGATTCCAATCATTGCGTTGATCCATAAAAGAACTGAAGCACAAGCTAAAACAGAGACCAACTTGTCAGTCTCTACAGCTGCTTGAAGCTCATGCTAAACACAATAGTTAGATATCCATAGATTTTTAACACTCACCGCCACAGAAGACTCTGTCATAAATGTGAAACTAGCATTCTTCATCTCGTATGCAGACATCATTTTAATGAATTCCGCTTCCCATGAAACTGCCTTTTCTTCATTCTTTCCAGACAGAAGTATCGTAATCATGAAGGTTCGAGACTTGGTGTACTGTAAAATTTTCAATTTTTTCAAATAAATGTTTTACCTTCTCTGTACCTTCTCCGTACCATGCCAATTTTTGTTCCATCCTGCAAAAACGAGAGCAGGGTCAATTGGACCTCCGAACTCCCCAAAACACGACAATCCAGTAGGTGTTTTAACAGTAAACGGATGGAATATACAATGCTTTAGATGTGTAAAAGGATTATGCTCATTATAATCGAAATCCTCTTCATTATCTTCAACATTAACAAATGTATTCCAATTGTTCTGAAATTCTTTTGATCTACCATAAAAATGTAATAGAAGGGCCCCGAACTTTTTACTTCGAATCAATTTAACTTGGCCACTGTCCAACATATTAAAAAGCTATCAACTGATAAAACGTTTATCATAATATCACAAACATTTTATCAGTTTACACATGCTCGATATATTTCACAGGAACCGATATAAATCAACTCAAACTAGACAGTGTGGGGCCCTTCTATTACAGGTTTTACGATATAAATTTTTGAAAAATGATTTACCTGAAAATAGTTCGTCGGACTCATGATAGCACATCCTTTTGTTTTTCCTAAAGGTCTGTAACAGATGTCATCCAGAGTAAATTTGGAGACTCCTTGGAAAACCGTCAAGTTTTGTATACGATTTATTAGCTGGAACATCTGAAATCAATATTTTTTTTGAAAATTCTTGTTTTAATTTGAAAAGTTACTTCATCGAAAAAGTTTGTGTCATCTTGATTCAGAAAGTTCTCAGGCATGGATGGTGAAAAGGTCATGAAGACTTGCTCAATGCGATGAGTCGGTCCAAAAGTTTCAATGAAAGTCTTCTGATGTCTTCTTGTTTCTCCATCTGCTGCAGAGACCTGATCGATCGAATGAGTCAAACTGTGGAACCAAACGTTTCCAAGGCAACATAGCGAAGCCACAAATAATCCTAAGAAAACGCATTTCAGGGGTTGATGGATGACTACCTGAATGAAACAAAATGAAGAATGGGACTAGAACTATTCAAACTCACTTGAGCATATTGAACACATAAATGTTCAAATTGAACTTCCAAGCTTCCCGGTCCAAAATCAACATAGCAATTTTCAGAAGCTGTAGGGCTACGATGACAGGAATACTTGAGAGCAAAAATGAGAATCATCGTGAGAGTAAAGCATCCACACAGCCGGAGGAACCACTCAAAATACTTTATTTGATGTTCGAATACTCGAACCCCTCGCTGAAAAACAAAACACTCTAAAAGTTTGATTTTATACTAAAACCCACAGTTTCCATTCCACTGAGGTCCAAGAGTTGATAAGATTCCAGTGGACAATCGATTATGCCACAAGCGGGTGTCTGAGGATTGGCTGGTTTGTGGCAAGGCGTTGTTGGGATGTTCATTGCTTTCTGAAATAAGAAACTCTTTTCTTCATTTTTTAAAAATTGTTTTTACCTTATCTCTGGTGAACTCGAAATTGGTATGCATCGGGATATTTACTGATGGGTCTTTTCTTCCCATGAATCCATAAAAGTTCTCATAAGAAACCTTTGAACCCAAAGACAAAAAACTCAAAGCGAGGTTCTGACTGGCCCATGTATTTTTACACGATGTGTATGTCCTTCAGCGAAATCTCGATTAACTTTGAATTCGATTTTCTCAACAACTCCTTTAGCGCCACCAGATGTTTCAAGAACTTTCATAAATCTAGATTGATCCGGGGAGCATGTGAATTGACACCAAAGTTTGGCAAAATTATCGAAACAACTAGGACAAGAACCAAGGATACCGGTAGCGTAGGAGAGTCGTTTCGTCATTCCTTCTAACTGTAGTTGAGTGCAACATACTTGTGCTTTGTTTTCTTCTTGTAATAAATGAGAGCAATACTTTTCAAGTCGAGCAATATAGTTCGGATTTTTTGAACGAGTGACGGTAATTGGTTGAAAACCTGAAAAAGTGTTAATAGTTAGTACAAAACGAACTTTTTTCAGCTGCTTATTAAGGGGCCTGTCAAAGATATGAAAAAGTGGTCAACTGATAAATTGTTTATCATTATATTAGAATTAGGGTTTCCATTTGGGGGGCGATTCACCCGCCCCAACGCCTCACAAAAATCATGTCAGCTGTATCGGTTCTTTTGGATGAACTCGATCCGGAAGGCCTTCGACAAGTCGTCGACGAAGCACAGAGGAGGCTGAAAAAGCAAAGATAACACATATTTCAAATATCTATTTTTTCATTTCTTTCTCTCTATAAACTTTTCCGTATTTCTTTTCTTTTCTTTATTTTTTATTTGATACAGATATTCGAAAAAACAGTAGAAAAGAGGGTGTTGCTCACCCGAATCGCGCATAGAAAGAAAGTGAGAAGACAACATCTGTCAAATGAAAAAAGAATATAAAATTTAATCGAATCAAAGTTCCCTATTTTTCATATGCATCGTTCTTATCCCCCATTCCTTATCCTGCCCAAAAAACAGTACTCTAGCCAAAAAGTGATTGTGTGACGTCGATATTTAAAGAATAAATAGGTCACGCGAACCACGTTCCCTTTCCACCTACTACCATAGCACGTGTCTCTTTGAATCTTCTGCTTACTTTTTCTCCTGCTCCTACTGTTTTGACCCATTTGAAAGTCCTCTGCTCGCTCCGGTCATTGTGCTTGTACTTTTTTCTCCCTAGTTTCTCTATTTTTATATTTCGAGGAGTTTTTATAATGCGAGGATGGATGAGACTTGTGACTGTGTTGTCGTGTTTGTTGCTCGTATACTTTGCACCATGCCATTCGAAATGTGTGATGACCGAATGTGATGGAGAAACAGACAGTAGTCACCCACCATGCAAAACGAATGCTTCGAGTGAGTTTTTGTTTTCACAAACTTCCAAACAAACAATAAAATATCTGATCCACAGTAGTTCCTCCAGTGGAAGCCCACCCAAACCTCAAACGTTGACCTCAATTATCTCGATTCTTGTGAAAGATATAAAAAATTAGACAACTAATTATGATAAAGAAATTAATAAGTTGAAAAATGTTTGATATCTTTCACAAAAATCGAGATAAGTGAGATCATACTTGACGGTTTTGGTGGGCTTTTGTTAGAGGAATACGGTATTTTCTCGTCCTTTTGTAACTTTAGGCGAGGCATACGGTATCATATATCTTTTTCAAAATTCTCAATCAGAAATTTTTTTCTGTAAATGTTTTATAAAAATTCATCCCTCTCAGCTATTCCATTTGTAACCAATGAAGTTCCAAAATAAAATTTCACTAAGTTGAGACTTGCTCCTTTCTCAGGCGGCATTTCTTTTTTTAAATGAAAGTTGTCAACAACAAAAATATGATTTCTGATTTGTTGCATATTTTCTGAAATTTTCAAATGAAACAGAAAAACGCTAAGTACTTTTGTAGATATTGAAAGTTACCGTAATGCCTGAAATAGAAAGAGCTCTGTCGTGTTTGAGCTAATTTATCTCGGTTCTTGTGAAAGGTATTAAAAATGTGTCAACTGACAAAACAATTCTGATTAGGGTTTCCATTTGGGCGGGTGAAGAAGCGGGCTACCAGCCACCCACCCGGGGAGCTCCCACCC